ATGTTTTATTTATTTTTGAGAGAGAGAGAGAGATCAAGTGCAAATGAGGGAGAGGCAGAGAGAAAAGAAGACACAGAATCCAAAGCAGGCTCTAGGCTCTGAGCTGTCAACCCAGAGCCTGATGCAGGGCTCAAACTTATAAAGCACCAGATCATGACCTGAGCTAAAGTCAGTTTAATCAACTGAGCCACCCAGGCACCACAAGACACAGATTTCTTATAAAGAGACTGCTAAAGCACTGAATACTTTGCTGGAAGAAGAAATGGAGATTATTCCATCACACAACTTTATTTATTTATTTATTTATTTATTTATTTATTTATTTATTTTTAATTTCTTTAGTGTTTATTTTTGAGAGAGAGAGAGAGGCAGAAAAACAGGGATGCACAGAATCTGAAGCAGCCTCCAGGCTCTTAGCTGTCAGCACAGAGCCCGATGCAAGTCTTGAACTCACAGACAAAAAGATCATGACCTGAGCCAAAATCGGAAGCTTAACTGACTGACTCACCCAGGTGGGTCATCACACAACTTTATGTGTTAAAATATATTTCTCAAAAAGGAAAAAAAAAATGACTCACTGCCGCATGTTACATGGAAGAACATGACGAAGTTAGATGTTCCCTTTCTCTGAAATGCAAAGTTAACTGTGAAATTCAACTGTAATTTTTATTTTCACCCTATTCAAAGGTGTGTGTGTGTATAAAACAATACCTGTGGTTATATTAATTTGAGTAATACAGCACTTGTAGAGATATATTCCTTTGATACAGTATTGACTAATGTTTAGAAAAACCCTATGGGCTGCTTTAACACAGATAAGTTCAAGATAACTTTATCATGAAATGTTGTTTTTTCATTAAATTGATTTTCTCAAGTTAATTTTGCTACAATTTAAAGCATGAGTTATGAATGCCCTTGTATAAGGAAAAAATTTTAAATGTGTGAAATTTTTTTTTGAAATGTTTTATTTATTTCTAGGAGAGAGAGAGAGAGGGAGAGAGAGAGGAGTGAGCAGGGGAGGGCCAGAGAGAGAGAGGGAGTCACAGACTGAAACAAGCTCCAGGCTCTGAGCTGGCAGTCAGAACAAAGCCCGACGCGGGGCTCGAACCCACGAACCGCGAGATCATGACCCAAGCAAAAGTCGGACGTTTAACCGACTGAGCCACCCAGGCGCCCCAAATGTGTGAAATTTCTAAAGTTGATGTAAAATTCCTAATTTTTACATTATGAATAAATACTAAAAGAGAATTACTTAAGGAGTTGTCCTCATGTATTTTTTCAGATGCAAATGAATTATAAGATTCTTATTTTAAAAAAAAAATTAACATTTATTTTTTTGAAAGACAAAGACTGTGTGATCAAGGGAGGGGCAGAGAGATAGAGGAGACACAGAATCTGAAACAGGCTCCAGGCTCTGAGCTGTCAGCACAGAGCCCGATGCAGGGCTTGAACCCAGGATCTGTGAGATCATGACCTGAGCCGAAGTCAGATGCTTAACCCACTGAGCCACCCAGGCGCCCCATAAGGATCTAATTTTTAAGACATTCATTTTGCAAACGAATTGCAGAATTATTTAATAATTTTTTTTGAAACAATGCTTGACTTTCTGGTTTCTAAGGAAAAAGAAAAACTAAGTTGTTTGCCTTTCCATTAACTCTAAAATCCTTATTTATTTAATTTCTTGATTTAGTTCTCTGTTTTGACCAGTGGAAACAAAAACATCCTCTCTTTGAAGATAACATACATTAATATTCATACATTTATATTTATACATGTTCATGTAGATACTAATGCAAAAATACATAATGGTTTAGTAACATTTTCTTCAATTAAATTAATTTCTTCTTAACTCCATAATTAAAATAGTGATGGTGGTTATAAAAATTATGTCTTAAGTTTTTCATTCTGTGTGACTTCAGTGTTGTTGAGGCCACATACAGATTTCTAGTACTACAGTTTGGTAAGTTTGGAATGAGCAAAGAAATTATTGGGTATCTCCAATGGAAAATTATTCATTATTTATAACATGACTCTCAGGGTTATCTGACTTTAGCCTTTCACTGCCTTTGAAATATTTTACTGCTCTGTAAATTGTAGATAACTGTTACCAATGAAAAGTAATTCTTATCTATGAACTTGCAAATGAATTCTGACTGGAAGAAATTCAATCGATTTCTCATCCCTCTTTTGAGGAAAAAGCCAGATTCACATCCACCTGTAACTGTATTTCCACAATTGTTTACTCCTCATAAGTATGTGGCTCTTTGACTTCTTTGAAGTTATTATAACATCTGCCTAGGTCCCTCATGAATAACAAGTTTGCTAAATATTTAACATGTGGTAAACCATGCTTGGATTTCGGTTGGTACCCAATACTTCATTCAGGACCAGGTCCCTAGCACAGACCCATCTTTTTGGAATTCTGCTAGGTTTAGAGACTAAATACAAAGCTATGTGAGTCAAGATCAGAATTTTTATTTTATTTTAATGACTATTCAATCATCCTTAAGTGATTTTTCCCAGATTTGGTAAAAGATCTCAAGGGAGGCAAAGAAAGTTTGGCCCTTAATTTGTGGAAAGATGGCAGTCATTTTAAAAGTCCAAGAAGTATAGCTTTTTAAATGGTCCAAAGAAGATAGGATATTGTATCATAGAAGGAAAAAAAAAGCAAAAAACAAACAAAAAACCCCACAACTAAACAAACAGGATGGGAAAAGAGGACAAGAGAAAAAAACGAGACAAAGTGAAAGATTATTTCACACTGAAGAATAGACGTGTTTCGCAAATAACTCATTTCCCTTCCTTTGTTCATTACAAGGAATTGTCAAAGAGCAATCTGAGAGAATTAGCTATCTCAAGTTATCTTAAGTTTAATAGATTTTTAAAAAACAATCTAATGCAAGTTTGAACAAACTTCTGTAAAGGGCCAGAGAGTAAATATTTTAGGCTTTGTGGCCCATGTCATTTCTGTCATGACTACTTTACTTTGTTACTATGGGGCAAAAGCAGACATTGGCAGTACATGAATAAATGGTCATGGCTGTACTCCAATAAAACTTTATGTACAAAAGCAGGTAGTGGGCCATGGTCTGCTGTCCCCTGATGTAGAGAATAATGGGATAGCATAGATAAATAGCAGTATAAAATTAATTATCATTATTTCTGCTTTCTTGGTTTTTGGCTCTTTTCTTGAAATTTAAGTGTTGAATTTTTGGGAAACAGAAAAAAGACACAGGTACAGGTATATTCAATACTGAATTCAAAAGTAGCATTTTGGGGGGCCTCTGGGTGGCTCAGTGGGTTAAGCGTCCGACTTTGGCTCAGGTCATGATCTCACAGTTTGTGATCAGGCTCTGCACTGACAGCTCAGAGTCTGGAGACTGCTCCTGATTCCATGTGTCCCTCTCTCTCTTCCCCTCCCCTGGTCATACTCTGTCTCTCTCTCTCAAATAAAAATAAACATTACCAAAATTTTAAATAGCATTTTGTCTTGATTTTAAAAGGAAAATTGATTTCCTTAATGTGTCACATAGTTACATTTCAAAAAGTGTGATAAATTAATACTTTATATAAATTTAAGGAGTAATAGTAAAGGAGGGCTATTATATCACATATATCCCTGGAAAGTCATTGATTTTTTTCTATTGTCATAAAATAAAAGACTAAACCTTTTATTTTTATTGAAGTAACCTCTTGGTCAAAAGGGGTTGTTTTAGGTGAAAGCATTTTGTTAAATATAGTCAGAAACATTCAGTATTATATTAATTTATGAACATAGGAAAGATCTGCCATTTGCCTAGTAGGGATAGTCAGGAAAGCTAGACAAATAGGTAATCAGACCCCAAGGAGTATTGTTGTCACAGCTTGAAGTTGCTTTTAAGGTGCACTGAATGAGAGACTAGAACTCTCAAAAGCAGTTTTTAATGTGTGTTTCATATTACAGTCACCCGAGGAGCATTAAAACAAGTGATGCCTGGGCCTCTTTCTCAGAGTCTGATTTAATTGATCTGGAGTGGTGCCTGAGCATCAATATTTTTAAAAAGTGTTTCAGATTACTCATACATGCATCCAAGGTAGCAAGCCACCATTTCAGAGTTTAAATAAAGTAGATTATAACCATATCCTTATAAGAGGAAAAGCAGACTTGACATTAGTTCGGGAGCTAAATCTAGACCATGATCTCCTAGTTGCTTCTTCACACACATGGGCCTAGTAGCCTATGCAACAGAAAAATGAGCATTCAGGACTTGTTATGATTTCTGTGTGCTGCAATATTGTAAATCTGAGTTAAATCTGTAAAGCTTAAGAAAAATATGCTTTTATCAATGAATTGCAATTCTGAGTCCCAACTACTTTTTTAAAAAGTTTATTTTTTGGGAGAGAGACAGAAAGAGTGGGGTGGGGAAGGCAGAGAGAGAGGGAGACACAGAATCTGAAACAGGCTTAGGCTCCGAACTGTCTGAACAGAGCCCTATGTGGGGCTCGAACTCGTGAACTGTGAGATCATAACCTGAGCTAAAGTTGGCCACTTAACTGACTGAGCCACCCAGGCACCCCTTGTCCCATCTACTTTTAATATCCAACTTAGGGGCAACCTAGGCAATGTCCCCAGTCCATACATAGGATGTAAAAATGCAGAACAGCCAGTTAATTTAGAATTTCAGATAAATAATGAACAAATTTTGGCATACATATTCCCAAATACTGCGTTGTATTTTATCTGACATTCTTAGCTACTAACTCTCACCTAAATCATTCAATTCCCTTTAAGGCAGCATTACATTTATTTTAATCTCATATACATGGATTTTAAAAACCTGACATTCTCTTTCTTTGAATTGGTAAGATTCATCCATTTATATGTATTACTGTTATGGTCTGAGTGTTTGTGTTCTCTCAAAATTCATATGTTGAAATTCTACTGCTCATTGTGATGGTATTAGAAGACTGGACCTTTGGGAGATACTGAGGTCATGAGAATAGAACCCTCATGAGTGGGATTAGTGGTCTTATAAACCCCAAAGGGCTCCCTAACCTTTTCTGCCATGTAAAGATGCAGACCTCACACACAGCTGTCCATGAGCCAGGAAGCCCTCACCAAACATGGAATCTGTTGGTGCCATAATCTTGAAATTTCCAGCCTCCGGAACTGTAAGAAAATACATTGTCGTTTTTAATTAACTACTCAGTCTGTGGTATTTTGTTAGAGCAGTCTGAATGGACTAAGACAAATATGATCAATGTCTTTGAATTTGTTTTTGTAACTTTTATTCGGGCTCCTATTGTTTTGTTTTTTATATTTTCTTTTTGGATATATTTTCTTTGTTTTGTTTTTATTGTATCATTTTCCTGTTACTGATGCGGAATTCATATGCCCCTTTTACAAATTTATTTTAGTGTTTGCCCTCAGTATTTTAGAATATATGTTTATTGTAGAAATATCTTATATTCTTTTTTGTGTCTTTGAGAAATTTATTTAAAATTCCTTTCATTGGAGCACCTGGGTGGCACAGTCAGTTAACTGACTTGATTTCAGCTCTTGATTTCAGCTCAGGTCATGATCTCAGAGTCCGGGGTAGGATTGAGCCCTGTATTGGCTCCATGCCGGGTATGGAGCCTGCTTAAGATTCTCTCTCACCCTCTCCTTCTGCTTCTCTCCCACTTTCTCTCTCTCTCAAAAAAGAAAAAAAAACTTACATTAATAGTCCAATTCTTTTATGGGATTATTATTTTGTTCTTATTTTCTTGAAGTCTTAGGAGGTGATGAGATAAAGAGATAAGAGATAGCCTTCTTTTACCCTTCTTCCTTAGTTTCTATTACATTTCTCCATCCATACTAGTAGGTAATTTAACTCAGGATTCGGGATTCTAGCATTCATCTGATTTTAGCATTAATTTCTTAACTGCCTAACTTGCAACCTTCTATATTTTCAATCTTGCCAACTTCAGTCTAATTACTGTTAATCTATAAATTACCATTTTCAGGTAACTTTTCTACTTCAAACTTTTTTTTTAGCTGATTCATCTTCTTTTATTTATTTATTTATTTTTAAATAGTTTATTGTCACGTTGGTTTCCATATAATACGCAGTGCTCATCCCCACAAGTGTCCTCCTCCATGCCCATCACCCCCTCTCTACTTCAAACTTTTAAATGATTTACCATTCCTATCTATATTTAGTCCAAACAGAAAAATGTGATGCAGCTCTGCCTTTCATCAACTCACTAACTTCATTTCTAGTGTTGTTCAGATACTTTGAAACTTCTGAGGGCTGTCTGCTCATTGGCTATTTGATTTCTTTTAGCAATGATTTCATATTGTCTATTCAGCAGGGTCATGGTACAAAAAGCATATTGAAGATGCATAGTAAGCATTATGTTTCACTCAAATTGTTTAAATGTCCATATACATAATAAAATTATTATAAATGGTGCACTATAACATTCTGGGAACTGCTTAATGATATTCAGCACAGCACTTAACTTTCCTAGAATAGTTTGTTTATGTTAATTTGGTTTTAATCAGGTAAAACACTTTTCTTTACCACACTAGCACTATTAGCTATTTTTGCATAAAAATGACAAGTCTTCTACAAAATTAGAAATTGAAATAAATATTTGGGCAAACGATCTATCCATTCTGATGATTACATTTTAATTATAAGGCATGTAGAACACTATTAGAACAAATGTGTTTTAAAACAAAAGGTGTATTCTGTATGCTCTTTTATAAGTATTGTGTTTATTAAAGAATTTGAAATAGATTTTTTAATGAATGTAATATGCTCAAGAATAAGAAATTCATTTTCTCATAAGTAGCAGAGCTTATTTGTTGCTTTATTAATATGGTATTTTGGAAGCTTTTGTATTGGAAATATCTTATTTATAACATTTCCAGGAATATTATGGTTGAATTAAAACTATAAAAGTAATGCAAAACAGGATAAGCTGAGATTTGAAGTCCATTTGATCCTTGAAGGTTATGTCTATCATAACTTATAAGTTAATAAACTCTTTAAGCAAAATATTTGGCATTATGTAAAGCATAATATCATTATCAAAGTAAAAGTGAAAATCCTATATCTTTGTTATAAATATTTCTTAGTGCCTTTCATCTATTCATCCATATGTTAATAAAACTACCCAATTGGATGCATGCTATTATTTCCCTACTTTAGATTAGGAAACTATGGCATAGAGAGGTTAAATAACTTAACCAGAGCTGGAATTTGAATTTAGATGGTTTGGCCAAGTCTGTGCTACTTTACAGCCTACCAAATGATAGTGATTGACATTAGATATTTGTAACTAACAAACTTGATTATACCTTCCTGTTCCACAAATGCTTCCTCTAGTCTATAAAAATAGATGGGGCACCTGGGTGGCTCAGCGGGTTAAGCATCTGACTTTGGGCTCAGGTCATGAACTCATGGTTCATGACTCTTGCATTGGGTTCTGTGCTGACAGCTCAGAGCCTGAAACCTGCTTTGGACTCTGTGTCTTCCTCTCTCTCTGCCCCTCCCCTACTCACACTCTGTCTTTCTGTCCCTCCAAAATGAATAAATGTTAACAAATTTTGTAATATAAAAACACCTCCACAAAAGGAAAAGGGAAATATAGAATCAAAATTTTATCAGTCCTTATCTAAAATAGATATTGTGAGTTGGAATTTTGTCAAGGGTTAAAAATAATGTTCATACTATTAAAAAAAAAAGTACTTAGCATTCATAGACACAAAGTGATTGAAAGCATTTTTAAAATGTACTATATTAGCCTATATGAGTGATCTCACATTATAGCCAAAATGCAAATTCTCAGCACCAATCAATACTTGTTGAGTCAGAACCTCTATGTATACAATCCAACAATCTGTGTTTTAACAAGTTTTTCAGGTGATTCAGATGGACACTCAAGTTTGATAAATACCAGATTTTACTCACAGCAGTGCCATCCAGGAAAGGAATTATTTATATTTCCATTTGGAAATATAAAAAACATGAAGTTTAAGTACTTTAAAGGTGTGCCTACGCCTAATTCTTAGCATAACCTGGCACACCAAATGCAAAATTGTTTTGCTTTAATAATCTGAATTAATAAAGAAAACACACTGAAAAAGTTTGAACTTCTAAACTCTGTGAAATGGAAAGAAAAGTGGAAATCGCAGACCTGGGAATGGGAGAGACATGTAGACAGACAGACATTTGAGGGATATTATGACAGAATGTGAAGTCATTACTATGAAACACAAATGAAACTTCAAAAGGTGAACCCTAGGTTAGGTTGAATATTGAGACCATGTATTATTAAATGACTGTTCTCAATTACTAAAAGACAAGGTTAAGAACCTAGCTCCAAAATATGCTAGCTCTGAACATGTGTGTGAATCACTGACTCTTTCTATATCTTAGTGGTCTTAGTTAATATAGTGATATCAAAATCTAACTTATGCATTTTTGAAATGATAAAATTATTTGTAAAGACCTCAGCACATTTTATGTAAATATCTGACCCCCTCCAAGCAATGTTAGATTTAGATTTAGATTCTCCTTTTAACGCAAATAGAATACATCACCACAGTGATGAGTGAGCTATAACAGATTTAAAAAAATATTGATACTCTATTTACAAATATTTTGGATAGATACTAGTGGCATGAATCCAGTTTGATATTATTTTATGATATTCTGATGTTTGCAAAGGTGAAATAAGTGAAAACAATAGAATTTTTTTTCCTACACTATTTTGATAGTAGAACAAAGAGAAGTTTGACTCAAATTGCTTTACTATCTATCCTTATCCTCTACTTTTCATCACCTTCACGTAGTCTGTATTTTAGTGCAATGTATTTTGCCTGATTCCAAAAAGGAAGTGTGGAAACAAGACATAATGTATACATGAAAACAACAAGCAGTTATAATTGAATGTTCACCATGTTAGAAGATCTCAAGCAGAGTATTAACACATTTAATCCCTGCAACTATATTATGACATAAATATTACATCTCTTTCATGGATGGGCAAACTACTGCAATTGGGTGTTGAGCAAGTCTCCAAAAGAGATATAGTCAGTGAATACTGGAGCTGGGTTATAAAATCAGGCAATTAAACTCCAGAGTCTGTGTATTTAACCACTGTGCCATGATTCAAGCTTCTTAAAATAAAGATGTTTACAAAGTAATATTGATTCATAGCCATAATAGCAATTCAAATATTGACATAACATTCAGGACATCTGTTCAAATTTAGATTACCATATCATACAGATGTAGTACAGAATGCCACAGACAGGCTAAGATTAGACTTGGCTAACTGATTATTGAGATAGTGATGTCTCATCTTAAAGTGCTAATTATACATTTTATTTTTAGCACTGAGATAAAAATCCCTTTCCTATCTTCGCCTTGTTTGTTTCTAAGCTTAATTTCTAGCTATCTGTGAGTATAACAAAAGTTTACCTGTTATTTTTAAGCAAATGGCTCATGAGAAAAAGCTTGTGTTCTAAATCTTGCCTCTAATTATCCATTTCATTCAATGGGATAAATACACGAAACCAGTCTAAGCCAGAGAGAAGTATTCCTTAAAGATGAGACTAAGAGGAACATTTCCATATGACTCTTGCTTCCTCCTTTACAGTACAGGATCTAGAACAAACACCACTGTCACAGCTGTCCCCACGTGGCCTGGCCAGTTTTCACCTTTCAATGTTTATGTCAAAGGACATTTCAAAGTCTTCATGGAAACTACATTTAAATTCCAAAAGAATCTTTAAAAAAAGAAAGTCTTCAAGCTGGCAGATGGAAATGAATATACAAAGACCATCTTTTTTTCCTCAATTGAGACAGAATTGCCCTGATTTCTTTACCTCTTAAGTAAAGCTAACTTTTAATTTAGATTTCATTGGGATAAAGTTTTGACGAATGAGCACTGCCCAGTGACTCAACTAGCAATTAGAAATTTAAGAAGTTCATTTCTATTAAGCTTCAGTCATATTTTAGTTCAGAAAATTCCATGGAAGATCATTTTAAAAATGGGAGCAGACACTACGTAAATGCAATTATCATCATAGGTGGTTCTTTAGGTAGCGTACACGTCTTTTATAGAAATAAGTATTTTACTTAATTCTCAGAAGAGACTAAACAGTCCCTGAGAAA